CTGCAAAGTGAGTTTACCTGGCAAAAGGTATATATTATAGTTGACTAAGGAAAGGTAACATTGATTGACCTAGTCTGAAGTGACAACAAAATCACGACCCGTATGTACGTGAGTCCACCATCCTGTACCTGCCTTAGTGTTGAGGAACAGGTGGTGTATCAACATCCTTTGGGGCAGCTTTCCCACACAGCCATCCCTCCATCCTACTACACCACTACCATCACTACTCCTACACATTCACCTCACACCACCACCCCCATAACAACACCCTCACACCACCACCTCATAACAACACCCTCACACCACACCCTCACACCCCATAACAACACCCTCACACCACCACCCCCATTCACCCTCACACCACCACCCCCATAACAACACCCTCACACACCACCACCTCCACCACCACCCCCATAACAACACCACTAACACACCACCACCCCCATAACAACACCCTCACACCACCACCTCATAACAACACCCTCACACCACCACCCCATAACAACGCCCTCACACCACCACCCCATAACAACACCCTCACACCACCATCTCCACACTCCCAGCCAGCACAACCACACCATACCCCCACCATCCTACACCACAGCATGGCAGGTCACCACCAACATCAAGTCATATAGCTTCATTAACGTCCTGTCACCGTTATTTCACTAATCTAACAATAACTTCACAATAACGGCTTTAAAATTGTTATGTTTAAACACCAACATTTACTTTCTTAAACACATACAGTGTGTAAACTCTGTACTCATAATTTGTGGTCAATAAAATATCTATCTATATGTCTAAAGTTCTTGACAATGTTCTCCCACCGATCCCTCTTATTTGTGTGTACTGTATTAATGGTAATATAGCCTGAGTACTCTGATGATACCAAGTACTTCACATCGTCACTCACACACACTAACTACAGGTCATGGGGTAGTCTTGGTCTTGCCTCTTAGATGTCTCAATGTTCTTGGTGTGTTCTTCGGGAGACTCGCCAACATAATAATACCGCATTTGTTTCCATTGCAATTTTTGGTGAATCTGAACCCTGTCTGTCATACACTGACTAGACGACTGTACTTGTGGAGCAGCCATGTTAACGTTCTGTGATGTACGGACGGATGGACGTATGGTAGACACATGACTGGATAGATATGAGCGGATGAAACAGCGGGGACTCACAAAGACACAATATCTGCCTCACGAGAAGATGGGGTGACTCACAAGCCCCCGGGGAGGCCGCAGGCGAGGAGGGTCATCCCACTACCACCACCAATACAGTATAATCGCCTCTCATATTGAATACGACTTGTAATTACGAACAAATCAAACGTCATTACGATAAAATATCCCGCGTCAGGTGTACTGTTAATAAATATTCTCATGCAAAGTTAAGTGAGGTTGAGTCGTGAGTTAATTATTATCATTCCTTCAACTTGTCTCGTCCTAGCTAGCGAGGCGTATAGTGTCAGGAAACTCGCTCACGATCAACACAGGGGAGTGAGGAGATTACATATAAAATTCTGGCGTAATGACAACCTTGATACTTTCTTGAAGATATTTATAGCCTGAAGAATAATACCAGGTTCTACTATGAACGAATGTGGAACTGAGTGGCCCAGCTGACGGGTCACTGACTCTCAAGACGGCTACTGTTCCCATTTGGTCTATGTTAGGTTAGGTAACGTTCAGAGATCGTTAATTGATAGTAGACATTCTGGGAATATATGAAATTTTCAGAGTAAACATGTAGGAGTATAGACAGAAAAGGAGTAGACTCAGAAGACAAAGGGCATCCCAAGTGTAGACCACATGGAGACTTGGCAGTAGGCTAAATAAGAGTAAATAAAGTGGGCATAAGCCGGTGGCAGGACCAACACACTGAGCATCGTAGAGAAGTGCTTAACCCTCCCCCATGTGGTCCTGGGTTTGTTCCAGGCCGGGTGGGTGAAGGTTTCTTCGGTACACTGCCTCCGTCTACTCGGTAGTATGGGTGTGGTCGAGTGGATATAAGGATCGCCTCCTGTCCTAGGGATAGTTGATTTGATACTGGGGCACCTTCAGCTGTCGAGTGTTGTACCGACCACGCTGTCTCTTTGTATAGCTAATCCAAAAAGTATCAAGACCTACCAATCGTCCGAAAGATTATGAAACACGGACGTAGACCAGCCTAACCCATACATGGTCGCGTCTGAGGTTATCGCTCGTTTTCTGTCCTATGGGACCCCGGAGTCTCGATATTTGTTTATGGCTGTACAGTGAAGACAGTAAACAGTGTGCCTTATCCACACTGTCCTTAACGAGTCGTCAGCTATTTTTACTCTGCGGTACTTGGGATCACGATCTAAATAGACCAATGAATCGTGTTCCGCGGATAACGTTTAGCCAGGGTGGTGGGTGAGTTACCGTAGCGTTTACCGCACAGGTGCGGTTAATTCAGGGGCTCCCTGTACGGTCTTGCTGTTCCTCAACACGCCAACTGAGAGGGACGTTGTTGTGTTGGCAGCAAGCTCTACACCTCCCGCCTATAGTGTCTTAACGGTCGGCCATACTCGATATTGAAAGGCAGATCAGTGCCAGTACAGCGGTGGCGTGTTGTGGTGGTGTGAGGGAGACGAGCTAGTGTACACGAAGCACACACAAACACACATATTCTCTCTCTCTCTCTCTCTCTCTCTCTCTCCTCGGACACAACTAACAGTTAAGTCTCATCTGGTCTACTACCAGCAGGAATCAGCCCACTCCACACCTTTACGAGCCCTTAATTATTTCATGAAATATACATTTAAACACATATTCAATCTGATATTCATAAATGAAAATAAGTAACCTAGATTTCGACATTAAACGCGACATGTTCATGAGTGTGATTACGTAAGTACCTGTACTAAGAAACGTATATGATGGCGGGGAGAGGCAAGACAAAGCCAAGCCACGAAATCACTGATGGTCCACTATCTCTGTCGGCCCAGCAGCATCTCGCCATCACGAGTGGATGGGTAACACGTCGGCATAGAGGTGATTCTTTCCGAGGCATTAACTGACTCGATGAACCACAAACTATATTTCATGGCGGGGAGTCAGCTATAATTGGCATGAAGACGCAGTAAATCTTCCCACCTGACGCCGGCGTTACAGTCCCACTCTGTCCAACCGCCCCTCCCCCCCCCCTCACTAACACAATCTGACTGCCTTAAGCCTTAACCAATAATAATAATGATGATGATAATAATAATAATAATAATAATAATAATAATAATAATAATAATAACAAAATACAATTAACCACTTCTGTGCCCTGATATACTTAAGCGCATGTTGTGAAGGAACCTGATCGTATCCTGTAATCTCAGAGGTGAAGGTCTAGTCTGTACAACTGTTAGAAGCTTCTTCTTACATCACTTTAACCCCAGGCCAGTTCTCAGTAGTGTACTTCTCAGACACAAAGCCAGGTCGTCTGTGATTAACCATCCGTACGTCCAGACACTCCGGTACAAACTGTCTACGGTCACACGTCGATCTCCACCATCCTTCAGCCTTGTCTTCCCTTCCCTCGACAACAAACTTTCCAATCTAGTTCCAATACGATGGCCAGCAGTAAAGTGCGTTTGTGTCAAGTGAGGAGGACACTTAGTGGTTGACCGCTACATCCGTCTCCCTGCACGCGCTGCACTACACACGCCCTGCCTCAGCTTCTAAACCATTTCTTGGTATGTTTGTTTTCGGGTCGGCAGAACCATTATGCTTTCAGCTCCACCTCTCCCCTTTCAGAGACGTTTACAATAAAATAAAAAATCACACGCATAAACCTTTGACATTCATCCAGTTGAGGTTCCTTGCGTGTTCCTTCTGTCAACGAAAATTAATTAAGATCTTCTTATGGATCTTTTTGTATCCCAGGACAGCGTGTGACGGTAAACACAACATATCACACTCACACACACACTCACACACAAGAACCTATCCTTTACAAACACTGTCATTAAGCCCCAGTTCTCAAAACATACTTGTGTACCGAACTTGCAGGGCGTCATGGTTGGCTCGACTACCAACGACACCTAGACTCTGATTCCAAGATCGACACTATTCTTTTATTTACGTCGAGAACAATTCGACGTTCTTTTTTTTTAATAAGAAAAATAAATTATTAACGTCACCATTAACTAGCACTATGCAGAGAACAATAATCCCTAATCCCCAATCGGGTTTCGTTCTTGTTAGGAGTAGGTTGGGTTAGGTTGGGTTAGGTTAGGTTAGGTTAGGTTAGATTAGGTTAGGGGAACGTTAAGCTTCGGGTAGATTAGGTTGGGGGTAGTGCTGGGTTGGGCTGGGTTAATTATTAAGTTTGGTTTCGTGTCCAAGATTACTCTCCCCACCACTACCACCATCATCACCACTCCCACCATGATCACCACTACCACCACCATCACCACTCCCACCATGATCACCACTCCCACCACCATCACCACTACTTCGTCTCCAACTCCTACTAATTCAGAGTTAACCCCCCCCCCCTCGTGACCAGGTAACCTACTTTAGTTAAGCCAGGGTTAGGAAGAGCTGAGCTGGCGAGGTGTAGAGTAATGCGTTGGCGAGGTGCAGCGAGTACTGAGCTGGCGAGGTGTAGAGTAATGCGTTGGCGAGGTGCAGCGAGTACTGAGCTGGCGAGGTGTAGAGTAATGCGTTGGCGAGGTGCAGCGAGTACTGAGCTGGCGAGGTGTAGAGTAATGCGTTGGCGAGGTGCAGCGAGTACTGAGCTGGCGAGGTGTAGAGTAATGCGTTGGCGAGGTGCAGCGAGTATTGAGTTGGCGAGGTGACGAGGTGCAGCGGGTACTGAGATGGCGAGGTGCAGCGGGTACTGAGTTGGCGAGGTGCAGCGGGTACTGAGTTGGCGAGTGCAGCGGGTGAGTTGGCGAGGTGCAGCGGGTACTGAAGGTGCAGCAGTATTGAGGTTGACGAGTGCAGCGGGTACTGAGTTGGCGAGTGCAGCAGTATTGAGTTGACGAGGTACAGCGAGTACTGAGCTGGCGGGTGTAGAGTAATGCGTTGGCGAGGTGCAGCGAGTACTGAGCTGGCGAGGTGTAGGGAGTAATGCGTTGGCGAGGTGCAGCGAGTACTGAGCTGGCGAGGTGTAGAGTAATGCGTTGGCGAGGTGCAGCGAGTACTGAGCTTCGCGAGTGTAGAAATGCGTTGGCGAGGTGCAGCGATTACTGAGTTGGCGAGCGAGTATTGAGTTGGCGAGGCAGCGAGTATTGAGTTGACGAGGTGCAGCGGGTACTGAGTTGGCGAGGTGCAGCGGGTACTGAGTTGGCGAGGTGCAGCGGGTACTGAGTTGGTGAGGTGCAGCAGTATTGAGTTGACGAGGTGCAGCGGGTGCTGAGTTGGCGAGTGCAGCGGTATTGAGTTGACGAGGTACAGCGGGTACTGAGTTGGCGAGTGCAGCGGGTACTGAGTTGGCGAGGTGCAGCGAGTACTGAGTTGGCGAGTGCAGCGTGCGAGGTGCGGAGTACTGAGTTGGCAGCGAGTGCAGCGGGTACTGAGTTGGCGAGGTGCAGCGGTATTGAGTTGACGGAGTGCAGCGGGTGAGTTGGCGAGGTGCAGTATTGAGTTGGCGAGGTGCAACGGCGATGAGTTGACGAGGTGGAGTGGTGGGAGCTGACGAGAGTGCAGCTAGTGTTAGCGGAAGGTTGACGAGGTGCAGCGAGTACTGAGTTGGCGAGGTGCAGCCCGGGTACTGAGTTGGCGAGGTGGCGAATGCTGAGGTTGGCGAGGTGCAGCGAGTATTGAGTTGGCGAGGTGCAACGAATTATGAGTTGACGAGGGAGTGGAGTGAGTACAGAGCTGACGAGGTGCAGCTGAATATCAGGAGTTGACAGGAGAGTATTGGATCAGGTGGAGTGTAGTGTTTGCGTGTTTCCCATGCCCGTATCCTATGGTCTGCTGACACACACACAGACACACACACAGACACACACACACACACACACACACACACACACACACACACACACACACACACACACACACACACACACACACACACCACTTCTCTTTCCCCATCCTCTCGCTAACTCCTCCTTCTCCTGCTCTTCCCCATCTTCTCTTACCCCTCTTCCTCCTCACCATCCTCTCACTAACTCCTCCTTCTCCTACTAACTCTTCCCCATCTTCTCTTACCCCTCTTCCTCCTCACCATCCTCTCACTAACTCCTCCTTCTCCTACTAACTCTTCCCCATCTTCTCTTACCCCTCTTCCTCCTCACCATCCTCTCACTAACTCCTCCTTCTCCTACTAACTCTTCCCCATCTTCTCTTACCCCTCTTCCTCCTCACCATCCTCTCTCGAACTCTTCTCCATCTTCCTTTACCCCCCTCTTCCTCCTCCTCCTCCTCCTACACCTCGGCCTCTCCTCCTCACTGGCCATTGTAACGGTGTAAAATTACCAGTTAAAACGAAAAACTGCTGGCTGGTACTCCATGTTTTGCCCCCCCACCCCTCCCCACCTTCCTCCCCGTGTGTGTGTGTGTGTGTGTGTGTGAAGGGATCGCGCTGAGACACGCCTGCTGTAGACACCTGGCGGGTCGTTGAGGTAGGTTGGGGACTGGTAAATCTAGCGATAGGATTGTGGTAGTTGTGGATGTTGTTGTGGTAGTACGTGTGAAAGATTGTGGTAGGTCAAGTGTTTGTGGTGGGTGAGATGGATGTGTAAGGTGTGGGTGACTGTGGTTGATGAAGTGGATGAATAAGGTGTGGGTGACTGTGGCACATGAGGGTGGCGTGGTTGTTACAGATTTCCTCCACACACACACACACACACACCCGCTTAAGTGATTTAGGTCAGTCTGAGTGGCAAGTAAGCAAGCAGTTCCTCCGGGAAGTGATAACGAGGAGCTACACGCCACTAATTTCACCGGTAAGTCGAGATAAGTGGTCAATGGAAGGCAGAATTATCATGTACTCTCATGCAAACAAGTCTTACCATTAATGTCTTAGCGAGAGCGAAATATCCAGCTTGCAGAGTGAGTGAGGACTGAGAACAGTAATATACACCTTCTGACACCGTTACTGAGAGGAAACCAAAAATACGGATAACTCTCACAATCTAATAGACACAAGTTTCTCTCTTAAAAATATGTTGGTACTAATAAAGCAAAAATAAAACACAGCAGTTTTATTATCAATACCAAGTGAAGCCGAATGTTGAAGGAGGGTCCAGTGGCGGTGGGGGTACGAATTAGGCTCCGTACACCTTGAGTTAATAAATGTGTGCAAACAAATATACACACAAGCAAAGATTTAGTCTCCTGTTCCATGAAACAAACAGCCTATCACACTAAAATATCTTTTACAAGTGGAAGGTGAGAGGCTTGTGGCAGTGTGGTGAGGTAAGTACAGCGGGTCGGGAATGATGGTGAGTGTGGGTGACAGGTAACACGCGTCTTCCCACAGTGTTGTGACTGCTGGTAGTGGTGGCACCAATTAAGCCCACAACCCCCAGGGAGAGTCCCCTCGTAAATCTGGCTAGAGGCGGCCACACACACACGGCCGCTTGTCTGTCTCACCGCCCGCCAACCGTATCCCACACCTGTTATACTCAAAACTAACGTCTGTACCGTAAAGGTGCCAATGCTGGCAGACGATGGACGAAACTTCGTTTATCGTAGCTTTCTTCAACTTGTCATTATAAAATGCAGGGGAACGTAAGGCGCCTTTGACTGTTCACGTTGGGTTGTTTTTATGTAATGGTCTTACTACCTCTGGGAGACCACGGCAGTGTTGAACTTATGTTTTGATGGTCCGAGCTAAGCGTGAGGGCTGTTAGGATGTAAAAGGACGGAGCGGGGCGGGGCAGGGTTGAGCGGGGGAGGTAGAGGGCAGTAAGGGCGGAGGGGTGCCGAGGTTGCGTGATGGTGGTGGAGCCGTTTAGTGTCAAGTGTGAAGGTGGTGGCCGCCTCCTGACTGACGCCACACAAAAAGTGCGGCTCACTTATCCTCGACCACAACACACGCGTCACAACAACTCATTACCATCCCAGACACGAGTCACGACGCCTACGCTACTTTTGCTGTGGCACTACAGTACCTGGTGCAGGCAGGTGCGTGGCGGGCCGGCCCACGTGCCTGTGGCTCTAATAACCAGCTCCTACATTCTGGAAGACTCGTGTGGTTTTTTTTCTTGAACTGATATGTGAATACACCCTACAAGGTGATGTAAGCTGCGGCACGGTGAGGAGAGACTACCTCACTTATCCCCAGCTAGGGAAGAAACATTAAGGTAATCAGAACCAAGAGGAAAGGAGGGACCAGCGCAGTGGTTCACGGTGGTGTCGCCTGCCTGCCTGTCCTCCTCACCTCTAAGATACTGCCAACACAAGAAAAATACTGCATCTGTATTGTTGTTCCCCGTCGCCCCAGGAGAGGGAGACAGGGATACATACTTTCTGTCTGTATCTCCAGGTGTCCGTCCGGGCGTCAGGCAGCTGTGAACACAATAAATCCAACAAAAAAAACGAAGGATTTTAACCAAACTCTGTAAGTGGATTTCAGACGAATTCAGCAATCAATAAATTCTATCAATAATGGCAAAATATAAGGCCCCTCAGGTTTTGTTGCTGTGAGCGGCCCGGGGCCGTCAAAGGTAACTTTCTGATTATTGTCAAATTTCAGTTATTATGATCACGATCACTTATTTTTGTAATGTTGGAGAAGAATTCCTCTGATAAGCTGGGAGGAGTTAGCAATGACAGCAACGAGTCCTGGCATACGAGGCATGCGTGCACGATCTCATAAAAGCAGTTGAAAGTTGGTGCGGCGAGATGAGCACCATCATTACCCGACTCCTGCCAAAAAACTGTTTGACTGAGAGAAAGTGCACTATCGCGCCTCGATACATTCACACATTTTTTTTCGCCTGCCAGTCACTAAGAGACTCCCAGAGACGCTAGCCGTTTCCCAGGCTTCCTTCTGGAAAATCCATAATTACAGTACTTAAAGTAATGGGCAGGCAGCCAGCCAGAAATAACAACGGCAACGTTTCTCTAAAATAATCAAGGCATGTAGTACGTGTGCCGAGGGGAGGGAATGGCCTCTACCACAAACGGCCACCCTTGCATTGTTCCGGGTGGTGGTGGTGCTTTAACCACAAAGAAAGCAACCACGGTGTAACTAAAAGGGTGCTGATAGTGACGAAGAAATATACAGTCCTAGGTTGGAGAAAGGTTTCTTTACTCAACAAAAAATGGTCATGAAGCAGTATGCACCGGATACCTGAAGCCTGGACGCAAATGTCGGCCCACCTAGACAACCCCACGTATCCATCAGTCAGGTCAGGGGCAGGTGGCACACACCGCGCCGTGAGACACGCTACTCAGAGTCATCCATCACAACATACAAGCATTTGTTCCTTGATACTAAAAGGATGCAAAACAACATATTCTAGTTTCGTATTTTTTGTATTAAGTTATGTTTTAAAGTTTTTCCTGTTTGACTATAAATAACGGTGTTCACAGACTCGTCAGGAGAGCACTAGAGGAGTAGGATGTTGGTGAGTGGAGGAGTGGGATGATGGTGATGAGTGGGATGTTGGTGATGAGTGGGATGTTGGTGATGAGTGGGATGTTGGTGATGAGTGGGATATTGGTGAGTGGAGGAGTGGGATGATGGTGATGAGTGGGATATTGGTGAGTGGAGGAGTGGGATGTTGATGATGAGTGGGGGAGTGGGATAGTGGCCACCCTCACCCACCACCCATTGACAGTTCACGTATCCTCATTAACGTCAAAAACTGCTGTATAGTTACCCTCTGCCCTCCAGTCTATACCTTAACAAACACACAAACACTCTTCTATCTCAATGACCTCACAGTATGGCTCCCACACAGACATATTCTCAACCCAACAAAAGATGGTGAAGTTAAGTTAGCTTCCTAGAATATTACTGTCCACACGATACCGCTGTCTTCACCTACACAAGCCAATAACAGTCATACAATATTGGATTATAAAGTCCCCCCTCCCCCTCCCCACCACAGGAAAGACAAAAGTGGAGTCAGCGGAGCATGAAAAGTAAAAAGAGCCGAGGTATTTACTTGATTACAGAGGTGGGGGTGCGGGAGAAGCTCAACGGGTCTAAGAGAGCTTGAAAGATAATAAGCAGCTCCTTGTGAGTAGGTCAGCCAAGAATATCTCCCGAAACACACCTCTCCTTCTCACACATTAACCTGCCTTTACCCTTCCTCCCTGCCCATCAACCTAACAAAAAAATAATAATAATAATAATATGAAATCAATTAATCTAAAAGCATGTAAATGTAATAGAAAAAATAACAGCTTAAAATAATGAACAATCATTTAATTACAACATATATGAATGTAATACAAAATTTTCTTTAAGATGTTATCTTTTTTGGCTTGCGTATCTCACCTCACACCCTTAAGTCAAGCTTGATTGGCTGTACACAACTCCAGTTTTTTTTAAAGACTGCCTCAACACTGGGTTTATTCTTGACACTCTTAACAGTCCACGAACCTACACAGTTAACTAGGAGAACTGGCATAACTCCCCACCACCACCAAGGTAAAATAAATTCCTACCATACTGAAAACAACATTATTTACCGTACTCATAATGATACTAAATATTGACAACGTCGTACAGTTTCTAAAAAGTGTTGTGCATTGTAGATAACCTTCCTGTCTTCTACGTAAGTGAATTTTATCATACCCACAACCTCTATCACAAAGTTAATCAAAAATACTACTTGCTGCCGTTCCCGTCTCCTCTTTAATAAATAAATAAATAAATAAATAAATAAATAAATAAATAAATAAATAAATAAATAAGGGATGAACAAACCCTCAGAAATAATCACGATGAAATGAAAGCGACGAAAATAAACTGGTTAACCTCTGTCCAGCACGGTAAAGTTTATGGTGTCGGTGAGAATAGTCCTTACCTGTAATTAAAGGTATGGTAACCCTCGCGATGCAGGTAAATAAATTAAGGGAATATAAGTAAGTGTAAGATGATCTTGTGAGGATGACTTGTACAGTGAACACATAACACCCACCAAGGCAGCTCTGTTTAGATACCTCGCTGTTGTCGCATTGAAATCCCTGAATGCCAGTCGCTTCATATTTCAGATTAAAACTCTAAAATGTTAAAAATGTAATGAGAGAGAGAGAGAGAGAGAGAGAGAGAGAGAGAGAGATTGAACATTAGAGAAAGCACTATTTTTTTTAAACAGTAAAACTTAACCGAGCTCGACTTACATCTTAGACACCAATTATATACAACGTCTGATGAAAGTCAACCATTAAATGAACTAACTCGTTATTGGATTTTCTTAAAACAGGTGCCCGAGTGTTTTTTTTTTTTTCGTAACTAATAAATGTTGTCGATAAATGAATTATTCCATTTCTGATTACATATAACATTTCTTAAATGTCAAACTCCAAATGAACAAAAAAAAAAATAGTGCACGGTGAATTGGATTTGTTTAAAGTTATCTCGGGTTTTTCTTTTGGGGTGACAAATCTGGTTGCAACCGGCATGTGGAGGCAACTCGTAAAAACTTGATTATCGAGGTTACGGTAGTAGAGGATGCCGCCGCCACACACACACACACAGAGTGATCCTTATGTCCAACTTTCGCCATGTGGGTTCGACCGGAGCAAAATAAAACTGTTATTATAAAAGTGTTGAGGAAATAACGGGCCAACTTTCATCCTGTTGCCTAACGTACAGGTTCTTGAAGTCCCTGGTGGTGAGGCGCGGCAAACACTCACACGCTTTCATAGTCAAGCTTCACCTTCCAACCAAACGCTCTTTATTTTTTCTTCCATTAAAATTAGTTATTCATTCCTGACGTGAATTAAAATGTTGCTTCTCTTTCTATATGAAACTGTTATGAAGTTACTGATTTGTTCTATTTTGTTTCCCAGGAGGTGATGGTTTTAAGCGCGGTGGTGGGAAGGTGGTGGAGATATTGGTGGTGGTGATAGTGATGATAGCAGGAGGGAGGGGCAGTAGTAGGAGCACGCAGCAGGAGGGAGGGGCAGTGGTGGAGTCAAGCAGCAGGGGCAGGGACCAGGTAGGCAGTGGTGGGATCAAGCAGCAGGAGGGAGGGGCAGTGGTAGGGGCAGGTAGCAGGGGGGAGGGACAGTGGTAGGGGCAGGTAGCAGAGGGGAGGGGCAGGCAGCAGGGGAGGGACAGAAGACCTACTAATACGCACGTAATAAGCCCTTATTGTCGCCACCCTCATCCGTCATGTCGCTGACGTCTCCACACCATCACCGGCCCCCAAGCATCCCCTCGTTCCATCTTGTTCCTTCCAGCCCTCCGTAACACTGTCAACACCACGTAAACGGTTCTTCTTTTGGGTGACAGCTGCCGTCGTCTTGCTCCTTTCCCAGGTGTGTAGCAGGAAGTAGTGTCCTTGACGTTCTCCAGTACACGGTGAAGACAGCACATCTCGGCCAACTTTACCAGTCATCGTCCAACATCATCCATCAGGCCTCCGGACACCCCTTTCCCGTTCACGACAGCTTCACCACCAGTTATAAAAATGTCCGCACCAACCCTACACTTTCCCAGCATCTCATTGCCCTACGCAACCTCCAAAACTGACGCCCTCCCTTTATTTCCTCCCCTGGTTCCTCTTAGTCTTTGCTATCCTACAATTTGATTCTTCACTCACGTGCTGATACAGCCAAGAACTGTGTCAGAACGTCAAGTCTAGTCCTTCTCTGTGGTAGAGGAAGGCGAGTAGTGTAGCGCCCTCGTTAGGAGGTGTACATGCAGGCAAGCTGCTGTGCTCACCACCCTACCCGACACACGCCGCCACCATCCCAGCCTCCCATTCATGTATCCCGCCTATTATGGCTATACAACCACCCATCACCACTTTCACCAACACCAAAAGTATCAAAAGTCGTTATCGACCCGACAAAATATGATTTACTAATACCTTCCATGCTACCTTACGCTACGATCACGTATTACTGGCAAGGGATCTTATATACTCCTGTGCTCTATTAGATATAACAGTACATATCCCGACTACCCAAGTCAACCATAGCTGTTTAATAACAAGTTTAGCTTCACTGGTGGCGGTGAGCGAAGTAACTAATGTGGTAGGGACGTGTGGTGTTACCAAGACCTAGGGAGCGAGGCCTGGGACACGCCAGAGGGGAGCATGACTTGTACTGTTGTAAGTGGTGGATGAGCGGCAGCTGTGGTCACCAGGGGGTGACGTGGTGGCCGCGAGGTACTTTTGCTTTCTTATAATAGGCTGGACTGTCACTAGCACTGGTCATAACACCTGCCAGTTACCACCGGCTCCTCCGCCAACACGTCTATGCCACCATCTTCTGGCTCAAACTGCCTCCTCAGTCATCATACACCATCAATATCGAACATCAAAGACTAAAAATACACCGCCAGCCTTAGTACCCCCACCCTCCACAGTGTTCAACAACAACTACAATGAATAATACAAGTTGTACTCCTGAACAACCTGTATCAACACCTCCCTCGTGGCTCACCACCTCCAGGATTGCTCCCCTGCTGCAGACAAATGAACACCATGTTTCATATTTATTTATAGGCTGGCAGCAGCAGACTCGACACAACCATCACGGACACAGCTGACTTACCCACAGGGCAAATACCTACCCATTATTTATATATGTACACACACATGTACAGTCTCGTTCAAGATTCTTCGAACACTGCTGGCAACTCAAGGCCGTTTGTTTATATAATACGAAACAACAAAGCCCAACCATTAAATTAAGCAACGGGGAACTAAGTAACCAATCACCGATCACTTTTACATTTATTCATAATTTTCACTACGTACTATAGCAAACAAACGACCTAGAATTGCCAGTTGTCTCCAGCAGTGTTCGAAGAATCTTGAACGAGACTGTACATACAGTACATACTTGTACAAATTATATTAACAAATAAGTAAACAAACAGATACAGACAATCAGGTTCAAAGAGAGAAACAAGCACAGACAGACAGACATACACACCACACATGTACACTGGCTGGACGCAGTGTTGGGCAGAGATAATGAACTGGAGACTCCTGACAAAGTTACTGCTGCAGGAATGTGTTAGGTGGTGAGGGATGAACGCTATCAGTCAGGTGTGGGCTGCTATAAATAGTGATGGTATAGGAAGTAACAGAGGAGTGACTAGTTGAGTAATATATACAGTGTAGTCATGGTCCCTGTTTGTGTTTTGCTGAGGAGACTAAGGAAGGAGATATTTTTAACAGAAAGGAATTCCCTAGATGGGCCACGAGTCTCCAAGATTATTAAGTGACTTTGCCTCGTAATTGGAAACGCTCAAATGCGTCCAATTAGAGCAGAGTATCCGGGCAATTTGGACGCGAGTTTGGCCGACATATTCGTGTGGTAGCCCAAGTCAGTAGTAGTCTTACTTCTACAGTTGTGGGGTATTTATTTAAGAACCACCCATAAAATAACTCCCGTACCATTAAGAAACAGCACGAGAGATTTTCTTTTTAACCCAACAACAACATCATGTTTTGGGGCAACTACGCCAGAAGGTTCGCCCTCCTCCTGCCTACAGTGATCCTCTTTTATGAGTGGACCGTCAGGAAGCTGGGACGGTGAGTACGACGTCCAGCTGTGCGCCAATCACCAGCCTCGGGAGTTGGTGTGGCAGGAATAGTAACTGGTCCAAGATGATATCCCCCCAGTCTGTCTGTCCACAGCAGCACCGTCAGGGGTGGCATACAACCATACCTGACGTTCCCGCGTCATATCCCACCCCCCCCACCCCCCACCACCTGATGATGCTACACTTCTGGAGGGTGTGACACTAACACCACCCACCTTCTGCTTCCAGTGATGTTCTTGTGTGGTAAAGGGTAACGCACGCTCGCCCGTCTTATACTAGAAGCGACGCCGTCAGTCACCAAGGGTAAAGGACACTGAAACAATCACCCACGGAAAAGAAGGTATTGTGAAAACATGTGGTAGATCATGACGTGAAGGTTGACTTGTGGCCCACCTGATGGATGGTCGGGAGACGAGAGGAGGACCAGTCAGTCCTGAGAGAGAGAGAGAGAGGGGACCGGAAGTTGAAGAACCTGAGCCACGGATATGGACCGGCAATGACGCAGGCACCAGCGGAAGCACAAGCAATCACACAAGCGCCACTAACAACACCCGTGGACGATAATGAACTACTTTACACGAGGCACAAACTGAATACAATACTAAGCTCGAGATAACTGTAGAGAAGTAGAGGGAGGGAAGCGGCGGAACCGGGAGCAAGTGGAGACGTAATGCCGCCCGGAATGGCTCCCTAGTGATGTAGCAAACTGCACGGTAATTTGTATCTCCCACAGACACTCAACCCGGGAAGATTCTGACCACTGTGCTGGGTGTAGTGTGTGGCTGTGTAGGGTGTAGCTGTGTAGGGTGTAATGATTGGGGGTGTGGCTGTGTTGGGTGTAGTGTATGGCCGTGTTGTGTGAAGCTGTGTAGTGTGTGTGACTGAGTAGGGTGTTGCTATGTAGAGGTGTAGTGTGGCTGTGTGTGGCTGTGTAGGGTGTAGTATGGTGGATATTAGGTGCAGAACGTGGCTGTGTAAGACTGCCACTCGGTTAGACACTGTGGCTTTATGCGGTCTTGAGGAGGAAGAGGATTGTAGCGTGGGGGGTAATATTGGTTGTGGTGAGGGTAATGGTAGTAGCAGTGATTGGGGTGATGGTAGTGGTAAAATGAGGAGTCGGTACAAGCAGTGAGAAGAAGGGAGGTACCAGGAGGAGGTGGTGTTGGTATGAGGATGGGACAGTACCAGCAGTGAGAAGAGGGGAGGTACCAGGAGGGGGCGTCGACCCAGCCTCGTGAAGTAATCCTGACTAATCACCAACTCAGTTTTGCTTTGTCATCCCGTTTACCACAACAACACGGGGAGAGGCGGAGATAATTAAAATTTTCAATTAATATCAATGAAAATGAATTAAGAGCGATTAAAAGAAATGGATTAATATTGTGATAAAACAGGTGACGATGCAGACAGGTAGAGTGGACGAGAGCAGTGGACAAGGTCGTCACCAACTGTGCTCTCAGGAATTCTTCACTAACCCGTATTTAACTAAGGCAATCAGATACAAGGGTCATTTTAAAACATACATAACCACCACGTATACAAAAGATGTTTTAATTTTAACTATAATTATTAGTAAGAGATGTTATCAAGTATAAAACATATAATATACACCACAGTGAATAAAATTTTCTGTAAACCTTAATTAACACCTTCAGGAAGATCTTTTGTTGTGGGAGTCAGACGGTCACCTAACACCTGTGTAAGGTTGTTGCCCACCTCACCTCACCACCACTACCTCAGTATATCTTGGCACCTCGTAACCGCTGGCATAAAATCTTGGGTTCGACATTTAATTTTCGCATTAATATCTATTTTTCCTCTCTGTATAACTCATGGGATATAGTTATTGACTGTTAATTCACTCACACACACACACACACACTGAAGCCTTGTTAGGAAGCGTACAAGTTAACTCTCTAGTTACGTAGACGAAAATAAGACTACAGATACCATACTTGTAGCTGTGTAAAAGTCAAATACTACAGCAAAACTTCATAGTTAACGTATAAGGTACTGTCAATAGAACAAAAAAAAACTGGAGTTATTTTCTGTAAAAAAAACCCACACACATCAACTTCCTCATTGGGTAGGCAGTAGGCAGGAGGTAATTTAAATGGTTAGATAAAAGGTCGTCTGGCTACGCGTGTTTGTGGGGGCAGCTACAACTTATGAGAGGGGCAGGGCGAGCATCATCTGTGGTTACCTGACAGAGCGGTAAATTGGTGTTGACGGAGGGGCGGGTCACGGAGGAGCCACCTGTCAGCGATAAGCAGAGGGTGCCGCTACTCAGGCCCACACACCACGCCTCACACACTGTCTTCCTCACACCACGCCTCACACACTGTCTTCCTCACACCACGCCTCACACACTGTCTTCCTCACCACGCCTCACACACTGTCTTCCTCACACCACGCCTCACACACTGTCTTCCTCACATCACGCCTCACACACTGTCTTCCTCACACCACGCCTCACAGTGTCTTCCTCACACCACGCCTCACACACTGTCTTCCTCACACCACGCCTCACACAGTATCACAACTTTACCCACAACCCTCCTCATACACACCCCTGACAACTCATAACCATTACCTTCATCTCCCTTCTCTAATTAATAATAAATAACAGACGCCATTACAGGTACATACAGGTATAAGAAGTACAGTAACTCCTATATCCATATGATGAAGGTGGCGCCTCGCGATGGTAGAGAGGTAACGGAACTCCCTGTCAGAGTTAATCAATAAATACACAGTCATACAATCAAGTCACCAGTGTATTTTTCTTATTATATTAACATCTGTATATACGAGATCAGTTGTGTTACCTTAAAATAG